GGAATCGACCGTACCCTGCCATCCGACCGTAACTCTGCCGTGAACGAGACCTCAACCGGGGCCGATCATGAAGAAGAACGTTTGACGTCGGATGACGGGGATTCACAGGGACTACCCCAGCTGCAGATTGACACCAATGTCGCTGTTCACGACACAGCAGCAAAAGAACCCAACGCCAATCCAATGACAATGGACTCCCCGACGTTGGGTCTTGCGGACATAAGCGCTGGAGACCATGCGGTCCGCATCTCTTCCCCGGGAGCCGCCGACGACCAGTCTACTTGCGCCCAAACACCAGTGTCGGTCGAAACTAATATCACTGCCCTTGACCCCGAGCCCCAAGCTAGTTTAAGTCGACAGAGCCTCCATGCCTCCCACCGAACATTACTGAGTCAAATTATGCAGATCCGGGAATCGAGTCCTGACACATCGTCTTGTGATGAAGCGGATTACAGTTTTTCTGATACTGAGGATAGGGTATCAGTTCCAGTACTGCTGAGTGATGCCCCATGCTCTGAAGAATCGGTAGCCTCCAGCGATTGTCAAGTACACCCTGATGCTTACGTGCACTCGGGCCAAGTTGGTCATGCAATTTTGAACAGGTGGAGTATAGGTTCCTGGTCATCTTCCCTTCACAACCAACAGTCCACGGACGACCATTGCGACGGCAGCGACGATGACCTCTCCCAGTTACAAGAAGTTGCACAGGACGGCGAAGTCGCTACCCAGTCCTGTTCCGCTTCGTCAAGTAATGCCCCCTCTGTCACTGGTCATCAACCCACCGCATACGTCTCAGCCAATAGGGAACTTGTCACCGAACAAAAACCCGAACTCGTTTCTGAAAGAAGCGCTTATATGCATCCTAGCGCTCCCAACCTGGCGAGACTTGGTGGATGGGATTCGAAAAGGGTATCTAGGCTATATATCGAGGAGCTGGCTCGTGGCAGAGGCCATAGTCTTCCGATGCCTGCAATCCGCGCGTCTCCTGAGCCTCGGCTTGAGAGGCGCACGGATGGAAGAACAGATAGCTTGACTGATGACCCGGTTGTGATATCCAAAGCCGATGGTATCCCTCCTTCGGAACAAATTGGGCATACGGCAAGCCTGATATTTCGAGATGATTGGGAACATGCTTCTCCATCTATTGCAGACTGGATGCAAGCGGCCGTTACTGATGGAACGGGCCCCCAAGAGCAAGATAGCAATGGTATTTCTGCGGGGGATAGTATATCAACTCCCCGATTGGGCACATCAGCTACAGATCGGACTGGGCACGAACAGGGCCAAGACACTTTGGGCCTCGCCATCAGAGTCCAACCACCGCAAGAGCTCAGATCAGGGGAGATTCAAAAGACTGCACTCCCCAGCTCTGATCCTGTCACCCAGTCGATCGCCAACGAGGCGATTAATCATCCGCAACAAAAGCCAGAGGCTGCACTGAGTATTCAGTCAACACAAACATCCTCTCGGTTCGTGCCGTCGCTAACTTTCGCACCCTTGGGCCAAGTTGAAAGTGCTGGAAGCAGCGAAGACTCCTCTCTTCGGAGGCTTCAACCTACGCCTTCTTCCCACACTCTTGACTCATCAGCGACATCCCTGGTTCCTTCCACTACCGACCAGATCCGAGTCGATATTCGCAAATGCTCTCCATCCCCGGAGCAAAAACGCCTAAAGAAACGGAAGCATGTCATCAAAGAACTGGTTGATACTGAGTACAGTTTTGGAAGGGACATGAAGGTCGTTGACGATATCTACAAAGGGACTTCGAGTTCATGCTTGGATCTGTCACCCGAAGACGTCAAAATCCTATTCGGTAACTCTGATCAGATTGTGCAATTTTCAATGAGCTTCCAGGATGCGCTTAAAGAGGCAGCAAGAAGCGTTTATGTTATGCCAAAATCTCAGCGATGGAGCAGTAAACGCAGCGCTCGCAACAATCATACCAACGCATCCAGGACAGACTCAGAGGCTGCGAGTGGCGCAGGTGAAGTCTCTGATACAGAGAAAGACAGATTAACCTTTATTGGCCAGGTTTTCCTGGCTCATATTGCTCCCATGGAGAAAGTGTACGCAGATTATCTGAAGAACCACGATGCCGCCAACAAGAAACTTCAAGTCCTGCAACGAAACCCGAAAGTAGCCATTTGGCTGAAAGAATGTCGGGAATGGGCTTCAGATCTCACCACTGCTTGGGACCTAGACTCGCTACTTGTGAAGCCGGTGCAACGAATATTAAAGTACCCCTTACTCCTAAGCGAGATTCTGGATTCAACCCCGAGCGACCACCCGGACCGTCCATATCTGGTAAATGCTCTAGAAGAGGTCACTAACATCTCGGTCCGGATCAACGAAATGAAGAAACGAGCAGAGTTGGTCGGTCAGGTAGTTGGCCGCAAGAGGAAAGAATCAGATGTTAGAACCGGGCTGTCAAAGGCGTTTGGTCGTCGCACTGAGAAATTGAGACAACAAGTTGGCCTTTCCGATATGTTCGAAGACAAGCAATACGACGCCCTATCGCAACGATTTGGGGATAGCTTCTTCCAGCTACAAGTTGTGATGCGTGATGTGGAGATGTACACAAGGGAGGTCCAGAGCTCGTTAGATCGATTTAGCGAGTTTGTCGCCGCGATTGAAGGATTTGTCGACGTGGCTCAGTCGGGCTACTTGGATGTGGAGAGCAGGTGGCGTGACCTGAAGATGGCAGTGCGTGAAATAATGGCCACAGCTCTGCCTGAACATGTAAGTGGAGCAGACTCTTGACGTGTGGAAATGAGATTTCAGGCTAATGCAAGATGCTCAGCTCGCCGTTGTCCGAAAAAGCGTGATTGACCCGATGGTTACGCTGCTCAAACTTTACGACGGGCCCCAGAGAGTGATGAAGAAACGGGACAAGCGTCTCATGGACCATGCCCGATTCAAATCCATCAAGGACCGTGGTGACAAGCCCGACAAGAAAACGACAGAGCAAAGCGAACAATTCGTAGCTCTCAATGAGACCCTCAAGGACGAAATGCCCAAGCTCTACTCTCTGACTGCTAAGATGATGGAGGCATGCCTGAAAAACTTTGTGCACATACAGACTACGTGGTTCAATATCCTCCAAAAAAGATTTGCGGATCTCATCGACCCCTTTCCCGACGCTATCCAGCAGATCATCGGTGACTGGTCTGCAAACTTCACTCTGGCGGAGGCGCAGGTTTTGTCGCTTGGCATGTGCAACGGATCGCTGCTGGCTGATACTATCAATCTTGTCAACTTCAACACGCCTTCGACTGCACCTACCATCAGTTCGCCTCGGCGGCCGTCAACTGTGAACAGCACTAGCACGCGCATAGGGTCTACCATGGGCGAATCACCTAAAGTCTCCCACGACTTCGGTAACGGCAGCAACATCTTCCAGTCTCCAAGCATGGACGCTCAATCTCTGGGATCGTACGGCCGCCATCGAGCCGATTCAGCTATCTCAGGTCGTGCTGCGCCAGAAAGCTCTGAAATCCCACGGAGTCAGATTCTGCAGCAGATCACGAACTCCTCATCTGCGTCCGTGGCCCCACAGCCCAAGCCAGAGTCCTTTCCCAGCCTGCCGAGGTTAAGTCTTGACTCGCCATTCCTCGTCGACATTATGGCCACTTCATCAAACAACGACCAGGTCACTGAGAATCCACCAACCTCTCCTGGGGGTCGTTATTCGGGCTTTTTCTCGTCCGCTATGCCCATGTCGGACAATCCACAGGACGACGCACCTGTGGAGGACACCGCGCCCAAGGAGCCGACGGTACTCTTCCTCGCTGCAAGCATCTATGAGTTTAATATCGACCGGGCGCGACGTGAAGCCGGTTATCCTTATCTCACTTATGTCGCCGGAGAGATTTTTGATGTCATCGCTGAAAAGGGTGAGCTCTGGCTTGCCATAAACCAGGACGATCCAACCCACCAGGTGGGTTGGATCTGGAACAAACACTTTGCGAAGCTCTCGAGTTAGAAGTTGACTACGCGGGTAAGATTATGCGTGTTACGATGTTATATGTTTGCATGACGATTCCCAGCGGAATACTTGAATTGTTTTTCTGTCAGAGTACCATGGCCTCGGATGGCCTTACATCTACGCTTTATATTCATATCACACTCAACTGCAACGGTGGATCAATCTGATGCATGGGCCGATGTTGGACTTATTCTTCATATTTGCTTTTTATTGTCTGTTTATGGCGTGCATTTTCTGATATGACGGACAAGGAAGGTCTTTGGTTGCAATTACGCGGGTGGAAAAGGAAGCGACTGATTGACCCACTGCCACTGCTTTTACCATTCAGAAGGCAATATTCGAATGTACATTTAGATACCCCTGATTGAGCGACGAATGCATTAAATTCGAATGTCTATACGTTTTACACCTAGTCTAACGTAGATGCCTCCGAAATTCGCCTACACATAGAGCGAGCCGCGGTAGGATCACGTGTAACACCAGCCACGCGCAGCACCAGCCCCAAGTGACGTCTTGCACCGCGGCACCCTGAAGTGGCTCATGGATCGCCGTAAGGAGCAAGCTGGAATCTTCCTGTTGACGACGAGGAGCTCGGGGGCGAAGGGGCTCCGTGAGTGATATCAATCAAGCCTTACTTCTAGTTCAGCCAATTGTGAACACGACTATAACAGAAGCCTTTTCGTCAACGTTTCCCCTGCGCCGATCCCGTTATCCATCTTCCCCCACCCCCGCAAGGTCGTACGAGCCCATTCTTGAAAGGAATCTCCGATTTCCGCTGCGTGCTTGTTCAGTTGATGCTTTTCTTGCAAAGCCGGCGGACTGAACGAGAAGTTATTTTTATATTTGGATTTGTATATTCTTCACTTGATAGGTGCCTTTGAATCGATCCGAGCGCTGTTTCTTGATCGGTTTACGCGAAATTCATCCCGTTCCGTATCGCCGAAGTTGGATTCTATTCGCACTGTCACGGATTGATATATTGAGCTGGGAGGACTGAGTGCAGGAGCCGGACACAATGCGGGACGGAGGCTTAGGAAAGCTGCATAAGAAGATGAGGCGGTTTGGTGATACTGTAAGTAGGGCAACCTGACCGGAAGACCCGTCTGAGGCCCTCTTGGCGGGTCTGAAGAGTTATTTAAGTTGGAGATGTGCTGACTTTGACAGTTGAACCCAGAGGATGCGTATCTTAGCTGTGAGTGGTGTTCCCCTTCCTCATTGTTGCTCGGGACAGAGTGGATTTGACCAGGCTGGAGTTGATAGACTACGATATACGGTGTACGGTACCCCCCGGGTTAGTATCAGCGTGGTTGGATGACCTGACAAGTTGCAGTGACGAGGGAGGACATGCAGACTCTCAAGAATGACTGGCTTACGGATAATGTGGGTTGCATAGTGGCCGTAGAATGCATGCGGTAACTAACGTGCTCACAGATTATTTCCTTCTGGGAGGAGTAAGTCAGGCGAGTGTTGTGATGGCTGTCGGAGAACTGATGAATCCAGATATCTGGAGAGGGAGTTCCTCGTACAGTATAAGACGTCCAATATTGTGCTTCTTCGTCCCAGCATGTCTTTCATGCTATTACAGACGCCGAATCCTCTCTCATTGCGTGAGGCCTTACCCGACTTCTCTCGTACAACGCATGTCTTTCTTCCCATCAACGATTGCCGGAACGTGACTGAAGCAGAGGGTGGCTCGCACTGGTCACTTCTGCTGATATCCATTGTTGACGGCGTGGCATTTCACTATGATTCGCTGCCTCCGGGGAACTACTGGGAGGCAAGAGCCGTGACGCAGAAATTTGGCACGCTTCTCAACCGGCCAATACGGTTTATTCATCTGGAAGATTCCCCCGTACAGGAAAATGGCAGCGACTGCGGCGTCTTTGTATGCCTGAGTATGCGGCACCTTCTTCTGAAGCGACTGTTAACCGCCAATGCAAATGAGAAAGTCAGCATGAGCTTGGGTGGGAGGAAGGTTGATGCTCGTGCTGGTAGGAAAGAGATCGCCAAGATTATCGATGGTTTTCGAAAAGAAGGCGAGAGGCGTCGGTCGTAAGTAACTCACCTCATTTCGTCTTCCCGAAGATGGCGGCCCGTACTGATGGGGAACAGTCCAAGTCTGAGTCCTATGGGGAAGAAGTCGTCGAGTCCCCCTCGGATCGAATGATGCTAGAGTCAGCAGTAATAGAGGGCGCACCGGAGAACAGGCGCAGGAATAGGTCACCCAAGTGGGCTGAGAAGTGGTGTTTATGATTCTGCATGCATACGATGATATGAATTTACCAATTATTACAGTGCTTTGAATGGACGATACCTTTTTGTTCTCTCAAACTCTTAAATTGGGACAAGTTTTCTCCTGCTCCTGCCTGCTTCTAACGTCTCACACCGTCCTAGGCATCAGCAGACTAATCAGCAGGATATGTCTGGCTACGACACGCAAAATGACCGTTAGCTACATCGACATCTTTGCAGGTTTACAAGCTTCTGTAAGTTGGATATATGATGCTGGACTCGATTATCTATGTTCTCCCATGCCATCCCATGTCAATCGATTTAATGTGCAGCTGAGTGTCGTTCCTCCATTGCCACGGCTGTCGGTATGCGCCTCCCGCCTGCCGTCATTGCCATCGTTGCTTCCTCACGCCCTCTGTCAGTGCTGCTCTTTCCTCCTCGACTTCCTCTTGGGCTCCTTCCTCCACCTCTCTCTGGCACTCAAAACAGTTCCTATAAAACACCTCTTCTCTCCTCCCTCCTCTTTTTCTTCTTTCTTCTTCTTCTCTTCTCAACACCATATGGTCGTTTGATGCTAGTATCGTGATTTCACGCTCTGCGTTCGTCTCAACTTCATATCGTGTTTCTACGCTTACTGCTCCTGCTACTGCTACCACCTTTTCTTGCTCCCGTTTTTCCCTTTTTCCTCTTTTCCCGCTCTTGACCAAATTGTTTTGACGGTCGTTGTTCGCAATGTCTCGTCTCAGCAAGCTTGGGTATAACCTCTCCTCCTCCGCCGCCTCCTCCTCCTTCTCCCCTTCCTCCCTCTCCTCTTCCTCCTTCTCCTCTTCCTTCTCCCGCTTCAAGGATCGCCGGACTCCGACGGTTCCTTACAAGTCTTTTGCGTCAGACTCTTCGCCCATCCGTTCAGCTGGCGTCTCTTCTTTCACCGAGGTACGTAGAGGTTCATATCTTTCCACTCGGGCTTCCCGTGCTTCTGCAACCGCCGCTGGCCCTGCCCCTGCACGTTCCGCCCCTTCCCTTTCGGCTCCTTCTACTCGCTTCGTTCGTGCACCTGTTCCAGCTCGCACTGGGACAGGTGACACTCTCACCCGCAGCCTTCCCTCGAAGAGTCGAGAAGCTGCTCAACAGGACGGACCCCTTGACGTCGTCCATTCCATTATGGAGAGAGCTCGACTCCGCTCTCAAGCCCTTCGTTCCCGCTATGGTCACCCAGAGAGACCGCGAGTCGACCCAAGAACCCAACCTCGAGTCGAACCCTCTTCCACTTCTTCTGTTCCGGCCACCCGTCCCACCCGTTTCACCGAGCGCATCCGCATTCTCGCCGAAGAAGCAGCCGCTAGTTCTGCCAACCGCCGAGCCACTCTTTCGAAACTCGCTGCCTTCGACGAAGTTGTCGCCCGTGTCAGAGCACGAAAGCAGTCGACGCCTTCCGCTCCTCCCATTGACGCCACTCGTCCTGTCACTCGCGTGGAACGAGTCCGTCCCTCCGTTCCTCCTGACAACGTAGCTCGTCCTGTCACTCGCCCTGTCACTAGGTCAGAACGAGTCCGCCCCTCTGTTTCTTCTGTCAGCGCCACACGTCCTGTCACTCGTCCTGTCACTAGCTCTGAACGAGTCCGTCCCTCCGCTTCTTCGGTCTTCGACCGCATCTCGGACCTTCGCGCCGCCCAGGCCGAGCGGCGCCGTTGGATCGACGAGATGATCGCTCAGCAAAAAGAACGTGCTTTGACTCGGGCCACTACTTCCGCCGCCATCGAGCAATTCCGAGCCAAGCATCAGGCACGACTCGCCAACCGATCCCGCGAGGGACACCTGACGTCACCTCACCCGGCCCCGACCAACAGCATCCGAACCACGGCGATTCTAGCAGCAGACCCGGTACGTACTCGACGCTCGACTCCGTCAGCCGACCGACTCCGCAAGGATAAGCCAGCGAAGCGCGTTCGTTTCGGAGATGTTACGGTACAGCCTGTATCTCGCTGGATCGTTAAGTCGAAGCATGTGCACAAACGTAGTTGCTAGCGGCCACCGGGCCACTTCCACTACTTTGGCTCAACCCGTGGGAGTCTGATGAGGATGGCTGGTTTCTCGAGATAATGCTCGTTTCCACTGTGACACTGCATTGTCTATTCGTTCAGCTCCGTCCCTTCACACAGTTGCCTGCTGGCTCTGGTCTTCGATAGGGAAGACCAACCAGGTACTGCTGATGAGTTTATAGATCGCTGGCATACTCTGTCCTGTTGAGGTATTGATGGCGCTACGGCTCTGACCTTAAGGTGAGTCGACCCTCTCCCGACATCATCGAAGCTGGATGACTGGAGTTATAGGACATTCTGTGTGGTAATGACGCACCCCGCCAGAAGCGCCAAGGGTGGCGCTCCGCCCCGTCGAGCCAATGCCGAGACCGACACGGAAGACTGTGTACGCCTCCGGAGGCTTGTGGTGGCGCAAAAGTGTAGAGTTGGTGGTAAGTTGCTCTCCTTTTGTTTGTGCTACTGACACTGATACGATCTAGTGGTTGGTGGCCACTCTTGAAAGACTGTATTGCAGCCGAATTTCGATTTTACTTCAGGTGAGTGCTCTTCTATTGACACAAGCCGCGGCTCTTGAGTTGGCTGACTTGGATCAAAGCGCCAGAGGCCCGCGGCCAATCGAGAGTCTCCAGGACGGTGGGGGAGGAAGGTGGCTTGTGTTGGTGGGACACATGGTAAGTTCCGATTTTTGGTCGCAGCTTCACTGCCAACTGCTGAGATCTCCTAGCGTGTTGACGGTCCTGTGGTTCGCCGGAAATTGAACATAGGAGGAATTCCGACACATACTGGGTAAGCTTGGTGCCCTCTGTTGGTGTGTTCTTCGCACTGACTGAGATGATCTAGGGCGGACGAATTGGAGGTGTGCGCTGGCTGAGGATGTTGGCAAGCATTTGAAGCAAGATTGGTGAGTCAAGCTTTCGCTGGGTGGTCTCTCAGAGCCGTTGCTAACGTACCACAGCAGTTACCATGATTATCGGTTGCCAGGTGTTTGGACGATGCTGGTTTGGTGCGTTGAGGTGGATGGATTCTGTGTCTTCGGGTTGTTCGTCTTGTTTGTCATTTCTGTTTGTTGTTTGCGCTTTGCGCGTTACGGACTGATGGTTTCCATACATATTTCTTATTCCAGTCCGCTTTGATGCTTGCTCTTGCTGCTCTCGTTGAGCTTTGACAATGCCGTCTTTCTGTTTTTCGCTCCACATACTCATCTATGCCTATCAGACGAGATTCGGCGCTTGCCTTTCCTTACAGTCGGGTCTCAGACTCTGTAACATTCAGTTCTGTTGCCCTCGACCTTAAGAAAAGGTACATGCATGCAGGTGTGGTGGACATAGCCGAACGCAAGTTGCAGTAGATGAAGACTGCTGGGGCTTAACGGCGGCTGTGGCAGTCTCTCTACACTGCGGGGCGAACGTCTTTGAGTCATATGCTTCCCTATATTGTTCATCTACGTATCAGAGGGGAACAATGATTGAAGTGCCTTTATGCAACCTAGACTGGTGTAAGGGGTACATAGCTGCATACGCTGCATGCACGGCATGCATCTGCATCTGCATATCCCTACATATCAGATGCAGGAGGTCAGGACCTACTCTCAATAATAGGTGATTAGAGCTATATATCTACTGGTGACATAGGTGCAGGTCAAATGAAGCAAGCAGCTCTGATTTTCCTTTCGGTATGACACTTTGTCTGCTAGTCTGCTTACTTTGGTCGAGATCAGGAAGGAAAGGATCTGTCCATTGTGGCCATCAAACATGTGAACTGTATGCAATGCGTCTCGTTTGTCTCATACTGCTATGATGCAAGCGTTCGATATATCCACAAAGCCCTGGAGTTTGATGCCATCCGATACTTGCTTCTTATAAGGCACGTATGGGTGAAAGGCGTCCAGCCCAGTCGCAGTGGGCTCTTCCACTGTCATTTCCGAGTCTGCCGTTTTTCATGGTCGTTGGCAGGCAGTAGATAGCTGAGTAAAGATGTGCGAAAGATTTGCATGTCGCACGCGGATCTCTGAGAATCGAGCTTGAGATGACTGCGATTTATCAATCTCAATTCGAAAATTAGAAAGAGAATATAATGTTATGATTCGCAAGGCCAGGCTGCCTGAATAGAAAAGAGCAAGTGGAAAGAACAACGCCGGGAACGCCAGCTCATGGATGCAGAGACAGCAGGCGGGGACAACGTGAATCAAGACTGCAGGATATCGAAGACGAATGAAGACCAGTAGAAAGATATAGAAATGTCGCCAGAATCAATGTGAGAAAACCGACACGCGGACAACCCAAAGTCTATACGAAAAAAAATGTCAAGTGACGAAGCGATGCCTTGAAGACGTGCGAAGAAGAACCGGAACCAGCACATGCACAAGGCTAAAATGGGTATGTGACGCCAATCATCAAAGTATAGCAGGTCGGTCGATGATACATATCCGCGCGCAATAGACCAGTAAACCTTATAACTATAGCATTGCAAGGTTGAAGGTGGCCAGCTGGCAGGCCATATTTGAGCTATGGCTGTTATGGGGGCGTAGGTGTCTGGCGGACCTCTGGCTGGTCAGCTCGACGCTTCTCGCGGGATCGCATATACATCCCGTCCGATTGGGAATCGCTAGACGTGGGTGGATCCATCGGACGAGGCACTGCTGGATTCTGTGCCTGCTGTTGCTGCTGCTGGGCTATAATTTCTCGAGCGTAGAATTCCACCAGCATCGTGCCGTACGCTTCGAGTTCTTCAACGGAGATCGAGAGGCGGAAATCATTCAGGAGCAGGAATTGAAGTTCGAGATGGTTTAATTCGACTAGGGGGAGGCCTCCGACCTAAATGAAAGTTCAGCGAATTTGTTTTTACCTCGGTTCAAGGGTTACGAACCTTTGCGTATCGAGAATTAGTATAAAAAACATCAGAGAAGAATTTACTGGCACAAGTCACGCCCGCGATGACCAGCCGATGAATGTTAAAACTATCGACGACGAAAAAATGGGAGAGGCTCTCGTTCTCGTCCTGAGGGTAAAGAGACGGTGAAATGGAGGTTGGACTCTTTGGATCCTGCGCTCGCATCCCGGCCGATGATGGCGGAGTGACCATTGGGGATGCTTGCGTATGATGGCCGGTCGACGGATCAGGAAATCTCGACCTAGATGGGTCCGTGTGCACGGTTGCTCCACGGTCCCAGCGGCGCTGCAGGCGCTCAAGTTGGCCCTTATTCACCAACTCCGTCATGCGATCGAAATATACCAACAGGCTGAGAAACACTTCGTAGGTGGTGGGGCAGTATTTGTGGATACGTGTTAGGTAGCTGAGAATAGTGATACTGGGTACGTTTTTGCCATGAAAAGCAAGTACGCTGGTAGCTTGTGGGCTGAGGTTGGCCGTGCTATCAGGTGGCGGAATATGTCGATGGACATGCTCGTGGTGCAGGTCGTTGGTGGCGGTGATTTTCGTCAGCAGCCCCGCTACCATCTCGATGATATCCGTGACCGGCATGGAACTGATTTCATACTGGCGCTCTTGGTACCATGACCCGGGCGCCTGGCTCCTCTGCGATTGCGCCAAAAACTCTTCGCTAGCGAAGCTCTGTATATGAGACAAGTCACGAACTTTGATGCGACTCGGCGAACTAGCCTCGGAGCCTCCAAGAGAGCGTAGCGACTGAAATGTCGGCCTCAACCGCGGCGACGCGGGTGATGAGTGGCTATACGAAGCGACCAGTGTCGGCTCCGTGGCCGTCTGGCCGACATTTCCGAATCGGTTGGAGGTGTATGGAGTCGACTGGAAGGAAGTTTCGGGATGATGTGCCTGGTTGGAGGTGGTCGAGCTCATTGAGACCGAATGGGGAGGGGTGTGGGTTGGCCCTGGGGTAGTTGAAGACGCCCGGGTGGAAGGAAGGGAGTTGATGTGAGATTGACGGGAGATGTAGGCCGGCACATCATATGGTGGTGGGTGGGAGTGCAGGCGAGCAGAGCCAGCGGCAGACGTTGATGGCGGGGCCGTGGACGAGGTGGGGGTAGTGGTCGCGGACGTGGACCTGGAGCTTCCGGTCTCCAGCTGTGACGACAGATGGTGAGATGGGGTCCGATAAACAGATTCCGATGGATTGATGGAGCCTCCCAGCATCGTGTAGGAGCTATCAATTAGATCCGACCGTGGTTGATTCAGAACGACCGATCCCATGTCAAGCCGAGGAGAAAATAGATAGAGGGCGAGTGTGAGAAATCGCGCGCGTAACGGCGAATCCTAGAGCAACAGTGGCGGAATAACAATCAGCCTCAAGAAAGCACTGAGGACAAGCGAAGTGGGGAACATAAGGGAATCGAGTCTCGTCGCACGACTCGGGGATAGAGTGCGTGATGGGCTAAGGAGAAGGAGGGGTTGATTACTATTCTATTATAAACGCGAAATTCAAGAGACGTTAGAAGAGCCTGGACCTGGAGACCGCAGCTTTACCCGCGATTATTACTGAAAAGGTCACAGTGCACGGAGGGCAATGGACCCGACCCAGGCTGGAAAAGGGATCACAGAGGATGAAAGGGAGTTCGATGATCCATGGTGAAGATTGAGGTTCCAAGGAGCAAGCAAAGGTTGGACGAAAAACGAACTGAAGAAAATGAGAGAGACAGAGAAGGATGGAATGAAAGATGGGAGAGAAATGGAATGGGCCGGAGGATGAAATCAGGAGAGATTCAGGTCAGTCAGTCAGTAGTGGCGAAGGCGATAGACTACTTCAGGATGATGATGGAGACGTCTCGACAACAACAGGGAAATCTGAAGGATGGGGGGTTGGGTTCCACAATCACCAAGTGATGATGATGTTGACGATGATGGATACTGCTAACTATCAATCTATGCTGACGATCAACCAGAAAAAGAAAATAATAATGATTGTGATGTATGGAATTCAGTCGGTCAACTCCATCAACAAGAATCTGATATCTACTATCTTAAAGCTTCAATACTAATGATATACATCCTTGTAAGGAGTTGAGCCACAATTACATCTACCTTAAGTTGTCTTACCAGAGAACTCCGTACCCCAGGTAACAATTAGTACCACGACTATCATGATGATCCTTATTGGATATTGCTGACTATTTCCTCCTCGTTCTCTGGCGACAAGATGATGTTCTCCGCACCACAGAGTACTAGCGACCACCTTTGTCCCTCAAGAGAATATACATCTCAACAGAGTTGGCGACATCCTTTATGTCCATGACCAGAAGAAGAGACACATACTGGGATACTCCAAGCATCCGGACCGGAATTCAAAGCGACTAAGTACTATCTACGCGATAGTTACTACCTAGCACTAACTATGATACCTACCTTACGGTTCAAGTTTGTCGCCCAATAGGGGTGGGCTCTAGCGGACGAATGACAGGACTCTGACGGTGCAGGTGTTGAGGGGATTCGCAATGATTCGGTTCGCAAAGGGTCTGGCCTAGTACGGAGTATGACTGATTCATCTTCCAGAGTTCTCCTGTTACGATCCTTGGTCCACCGACATATGGAGTATTTACCTTGCATAATAACGATTGTTGATGCTGAGTGAATTCACGTCGTTGATTCATTGTTCATTGCTCCGTATTCTGTTTGACACAACTCAAGCTACTGGAAATGAGCAATAGCATCACTGGAAAGAGCAATGTTCTCCGAGTCAAAGCATCATTGGTTTCTCTTCTCACCGAGAATCCCCGCGATCATGATACGTATGAAACGCGCTACGGAGTTCCTATTATTATTATCGAACTTGAGGAGGTGGACGACAGGGGGTTGAGATTGTAGGTAGGGTCTTTATTATTATCAGGTCCATTTAAATCCCGCAAACCGTCACTTTCAAATGTCCGGCTCATACTCCGCTGCACCACTTTGCTTGAATGTGAAGAATCACTCTATCCTGGTGTTGCCTCTCGACCAGGCAATTGCCCGTCCTTGCGACCAGAGAGGTACTGCGTCAGCGGATATTGATGCAGATGAGCACATTTTAAGTGGTCAACATCATTCAAATCAAATCATCCCGTATATGATTGCACTCATGATCTGTTGGTTAAGCCGGGTCCAGTGTAGTCCGTGTCTGGCAAATACAAATGTCTCTCAGCTCCCCTGGACGTCAGCACCACCAATCGAATCACACCTCCGGAGCTGCCATCCCACTTGATCGCTTCCTGCAAGGCGTTGCGCACAAATTTGATGCCTTCTTCTTCCGTCATATTCTCCTTCCAGTGAGCATCGCAATAACCGTAGATGTAAGTTGATCCCGAGCCGCCAATGGCGTAGGACTGCTTGTGTAGAGACCCGCCCAGAGGTATCGAGTACACCTGACCGCCATGGCGTGGGTCGTATCCCGCGATGATGATACCAGCACTACCATTAAACCCCGTCAGTAAGTTTTTTCTTCTCCTTCAGCAAGCTCGAGGAGGTTATCAACCTTAGCATATCCTTGTTCTCATAGCACAACTCCTGGAACAGAGCCGCAGCCACCTGGGTGCTGGGAGCCTCATTGTTCACGATGCCGTACATGTTGAGATGATAGGAGACAATGTCCGCGACAGCCTGTGTGTCCGCCGCAGATCCCGATCGACAGCACCAGATGGTGTCGTGGACCTGTGTGAGTTTGTCGGTGACTCGGTTGGCGATGTAAGCTCCAGTAGTTGTCCGGCTATCTGCTCCCAGAATAACACCGTCCTTGAAGTTGATAGCCATACTATCTGCAATCAATATACCAGCCAAAATCGGCAACGTGGAATCAGCTCACTCACATCGAGGTACCTAAGCTGTAAAGGCACGGTGGTTAGCAGTTTGTTAATGAGGACTTGTATGAGCAGGAGTTGAAAGACGTACTTGACCTCTCCGGTCTTCAAGTGGTTCATGTCAATGTGAATTCCATCTAAGTAGACCATCAGAAATTGCTCTGATCCATTCTTGCTCGTCGATAAACTCGTGTCTCACCTTCCCCAAGCATCCCTGTAACGCCGTGGCCGACCATTGTGTCTGTGGCAGCTGGAGGCTGACGGAAAATTCTCGTTTGACAAAATGTACACTGTCGGAATGAGAAGAGTAAAAGGATTGCAAGCCGTCCGACAAGCCAGAGGATGGGAAAGGCCGGTTGATGAAGATTGTGGATGCTGGTTGATGATAGTAAGGTTAGGTAGTCTGATGATGATAGCTCTGACGGAGCTTCCAACAGGCAGAGCGCGTTACGTTGTCAGCTCAAGCTGATTCTGCCGGGCGGTGTGGTGGATACTTTTTCCTATTGGCCTGGCGGGGGAAAGTATTCTCCCCGCATGTAAAGTATCAATTCTGAACTCCAGCCATCGATGCTACCATAATATAACCTGTTTCATACTAAACCACATTGCTAGTCCTCTAGGCAAATCTCATCCAGCTCATCGCTAATTTTCTTGTCTATGATGACTTACTGATGGGATCATCCATCCACATGATCGACTCTCGAAAGACAAAATTATATCATCCATATATCCTCTCATTCAGTCTGCTTATCTAGCCTTACATCCGCCGCAATGTCCGAGTCTCCTCCGCCCCCGCCGTCATGGAGCATCGCTGCCATGGCTAACAATGCCGTTCATTTTCTTCGATTACCAGTTTTGGCATCTTCTGGTCTCGCCGTTGTTGCCAGTGGTCTCTTATACTTTAAGCAAAAGTGCGACCCTGACCACTAGATAGACAATGCTCTGTCTCTTGTATGGCCGGAAACTGATCGCGTGTCCAGTGAGCTGATCTATCCTCGCAATGTCCCCACCGACGCCCGCACCAATATCCCCAGTCCCCGACAATTCGGCATCAGCGACTATGAGGATCTCCAAATTCCCACACCGGACGGAGAGTCGTTACATGCCTTCTTCATCCGTCCCGCAAACAAGCAACATGCTCGGAACATAACTGTGTTGATGTTTCACGGGAATGCGGGCAATATTGGCCACCGTGTCCCTATCGCCAAGGTGCTTCAAGAGATTCTCGGCTGCAATGTGTTGATGTTGGAGTACCGCGGCTATGGTCTCTCGACGGGGGTTCCTGATGAGGCAGGGCTTAAGATCGATGCGCAAACAGGCTTCGACTACTTGCGGGAACGGGCAGAGACGAGGAACACGAAGATTATCGTGTACGGTCAAAGCCTGGGGGGTGCAGTAGCCATTAATTTGGTTGCTGAGAACCAAGATAGTGGTGATATTGGCGGGTTAATACTGGAGAATACATTCTTAAGTATTCGCAAGTTAATCCCGACGTAAGTAATCCACTGTCTTGGCTTGATATTCGAGTGATCATACTCACATGAACAGCGTTTTCCCTCCCGCCCGGTATCTCGCTCGACTGTGTCACCAGCATTGGGCGAGCGAGGAGGTTATGCCGAAGATTAAAGATGTGCCGATTCTTTTCCTGAGCGGGCTGAAGGATGAGTTGGTTCCGTAAGTTTATTGTCTGTCTTCCTGTTGAATAGGACACTAATCGTTGATGCGGGTTCAGCCCCTCAAACATGACACAGCTCTTCGCAGTTTGCAAATCAAGCCGCAAGGTCTGGCGTACCCTTCCAAACGGCGGGCACAATGATACTGTCGCCGAATCAGGCTACTTTGAGCATATTCACGACTTTGTCATGGAGGAAGTGATACGAAAGCAATAGAACAGACTCATCACTGACTCGTCTAATCGATCCAAATCCGCTGCATATAAGACGCACTGTTGTGTGCATTATCGATACCCTAACGACACTGAATTGCATGAACTCCATGAGTTTGGCTACCTAGTTGACCCTTTGACGGACCACGAGGATTTAATGTATCCTCTGCTGTCGAACAGTGGATCATATTGACGCGCGCCTTCTCTTCACCAGCATCTTCTTCTGTCTGAGTGTCCACCTCCCACGACTTGACTTATACTCTGTGACCGGAGTGGACGATACTTCGTGCCCATACTACGTATTACCTGGCGGCTTGTCTCGCTTTGTTCTGATGATGTCAGACTATTTTAATGTGTTCTACTCACGGCGTTGTCCTCTTAGCTTTGTCAATTCCCTTTTTCTTCCTCCTCCTGTTTCAAGGTGTATGAGGTGACTGTTTGGATGGCTGTATGTATTAGATCCGATTTATGATTAGCATATGGATCGCTAGATTCTGTAAGCAATTATTATTGCGTATCATTTGACCGAATACTTCAACAAAATTCTAGCTCTGAGCTCAATATACAATGTCACCAATTCGTTCTCTCATTGATGACGCAAGTAGTCTTGCCGAGACCGATTCTAATCTATGAATATACAGACAAGCATATAATACAACTCCAAACGAAGACTCTACAGCCTCTCCGCCTCCTCCATCAACTCCTCCATCTTGAACCCCTCCTCATCACCACGAGTAAACATGCGCACCAGCTCCCCCTTGCGCCCACTCGCCTGGCCCTCGAAATCGTAAAACCGCTGCAAACAGCTCACCAGCCAGCTCGCCTCGGTCGTCGAGATCCCCGAATCCGGCATGACCTGCCCATGCATCAGAACCAACCCCTTCTCATCCGCCAGATCCAGGTGGTGCGTGATCGTCGTATGCGGCTGCGCAAACGCCCCGTGCAGCTTGTACGCGGCCAGCTGGGTGAAGATCACCGTGGAGGTGTGGTTGTTCGCTGAGGAGCCCGAGGGCGCGGGGGAGGCGGGCGGGTGGAACGCCCACTGCAGGAAGTGGATGTCTGCGCCGACGGTGTTGGGGTCCACGGTGGAGCCGTCTTCGGCGGGTGCTTGCTCGGTTGAGGAGCGAGGGAGCGGGAGGATGAATTGTGGGTTGTGGCGGGCGGCGGCGGCGATGCGCTGGTAGGTTTCTAGGGGAATGCAGGCGCAGATCGAGTTGGAGTTGTTGGCGTGGCGGAGGCGCCAGAGGGCTTCTATTTCTTTCTGGGGAAGGGCGAGCACTTTCTCGACGTCGAGGTAGGAGCTGAGCGGCTTGATGCCTGTGGAGGAGCCTGAGACGGACGCTGCGGCGGCGGCGGCGGCCTTGGGAGATGGCGGTGGTGTGGGAGGAGGGGGTGGATTGGTGGCAGGGAAAGACTTCGGGGATGAGGGAGGTGTGGTCGGTTCTGGGGTGAGAGGCGTGGCTGCGTTGCGGCGGAGGCCATGGATCTTGTCCTTGTAGGCTTCCTTGAGTGACTCTACTGAGCCATGACCTTCTCTATAGGCGCAGTGTCAGCGTACATTCACTAACTTCTGAGAGTCACGGAAGCATTAACATATAACCTACTCTTTGGCCTTCCTGTCCAGCTTCGACTTGTATCTGTCCAGGACGTGATTCGGATCGTGATGCGTGGCAAGGAAGCGCACATCGTGCACCTGGGCCCATCGTCGTTGAGGCGTGCGTGCCAGGGACGATCTACCCCGGAGTAGCGACTGAAATGCAGAAGACCTAATTGACGACGCCATCCTTTGCAAAATGCTCGATGCGGTGCGGAGGAAACTATGAGAGATTGCGGAAGGTCGAAGTATAGAACAAAAATTTGATTATATAATCATCGCAATCATCAGTTGCCGAGCGAACGCCGAGCAGTTACTGAGCCCTAAGCAATGCAGCAAGGTTCCTCAACTTCCAGGCAAACTCTATCTAAGTTCGGATATTATTGCATATACAACTATCTGATCATAGTTATTGGCGGTATGTACAAGCAACTAGACAATCATACTCTCCGGAGGTCCCAAGTAGCTTGGCCTGACTCCTCCCAGGTTTACCACAATCTTTTGAAACACGACTCCGGGTTCTATGGCCCAAAGCTTCAGTGTGTTCTTTCTACCGTCGCCTTGAATTGCATGACTGGTGGTATTGGTCCACACAGCGTTACTGACCGTAGTGCCCCAATTCGATGGCAAGGAGCCAAGGGGAGTCGAGGGAACAAACTGCACCACTTGAGGCTCAGCGTCATTGATGGAAATGGCGTATTTGAGGGGACGGGAATGATCGGTATTAAGCGAGGGTCCCAAGTAGACCGTAGCTTTGACAGTGGACACATTGGAAAACAAGTACATATCATACTCGAGTCGAGGAGAGGATGGAGGCTGCTGTGTTTCAATCGTGACAGGGAGCAACGTTACTCCCGACAGCGTATGGCCGTATCTTGGAATGACGGCGTACGAGACATCAGCTGACGACGTGTTACGGGTGGCATGTTCAGCTTCCATGCTGACTGTGCCATCCGATTCCACAAAGCCGTGGAAATCAGCTGGAACTGATGTCTTGTTGACAGGGAGTTGCACAGTGGGCATTCCAAAATTGCCGTAGTCATCCGATGAGATGGTGACATTGATCAAGGCCATGTGAGATCCAGTGGGCACTTGCTCCCAGTCGATGGAGAGCTGAATCCTGGCATCTGTGTTATTTCCAGATGCTGAGATTTTGCCGGACGGGGGGGACGCCTTGACCCAGGAATCATATGGGGACACTGTAAAAGTGAAATCGTGCGTTCCGCGAGAGTAAACGTCAATCCAGCGAGTGCTCGGTCCGTAAGGATCCATCGGCGGCAGAGTCAGAGAATTAGACGATAACGAATGCCAGACGTCGTCACCGGGTACCGATGCATTGCTTGCTTCGACAGACACACCCATGCTTCCTGCCAGACTTTCCTCAAGTACTTGTGTATATGCCAGAGGAGGTAATGTGTTCCGCATCGGCTGCTGCCTGTTGGCACTTGATTAATACCAATTCAAAGACGTACAGAAACGAACGAGACATACCAGTAATCATAACCAAGATGCGTCTGGTCCATTATATGATTCCACTTGCCGTCAAGAAGTTTGTGGTACCTCTGCGTCAAGGCGTGGTCATCTTTGAAGAGCATAAGGGCTTGATCCGCCAAACTGTTGGCACTCGTACGGCGCTGGCCTGCGTACAGATTGTTTCTTGCCGCTGTGATATGAATATCGGTGACAATTTGGCCAGCCATGCAAGGCTGCAGAACGAGCTCGAAGAACGCAGGACGGACTGAATCTTTCAACTTCTGGTATACGCTCTGAGCATCGTTTACGAGCGCTCGCCACTCCTCCTGCACCCGGTCCGCTTCGTTATAGTTGATCACGCTAAATGTTGAGCTGTCAATGAGCTCATACTTTCTCCGTGCAGCATACATTCCATAGCGATCCATTATATCAGCCACTTTGCTGGATACTTGTTCTCCAAATTCTCTGGTAGCCCAGTGATTGAGCCACGTAAGAGTGCTATCAGGCGAGGACCACAATGGTGTATTGTATGCAAGGTCAAGGAAATGGTTCAGGGGAAGTTCCTGATTCCATGTTAGGTTTCAAACAACCAAGTGCGGTGGCCGGCTCAGTACTCACCACTCCCTTAAGGTCTCCAATATTCACAATCCAGATCTGCCTTGCCTGGCGCTCATATGCAAGATGCATCTGTTCCCATGTTTTCTGGAGGGAAATGGTATTGATCCACTTGTAGTCACGGGGATCGCCGACGTAGTCAAAATGGTAGTACACTCCTGCACCACCAGACCTAGCCGTCTCATTGCCGACCGGCAGCCGCTGGATATTTCCCCAGTTGTCATCTGCCCAGAGAAGAGTAACGTCATCCGGAGCACGCAGTCCTTCCTCATAGAATTGGCCAACCTCCTTGTACAAACACCACATCTGTGGGACGGATGAGATGTTTGTCATGTTAAGGACGTCTGACAGAACCTGCTGCTGCGTATTCACGATATCTCCCAGTGATTGCTTTGTATTGGTTGGATTTGCAGTATCATGTTTTCCTCTCATTCCAAGGGTCCAGAGCACTTCCCAGTCCTTGCTTCTAATGGCGCCCTCTCTGAAGAACTGGGTGATGTTCTTTTTGTTTGAGGTCCAATCCCACTCTCCCTCCAGAAACAGCGACTGTTCCTTTGTCGCTCGCATCATGGGCTCTGTGTGGCTGGTGCCCATGACGATTCCATACTCATCTGCTGTGGGACCATTGCGTGGGTCGTCGGGATAGAATGCATTGTCCCACATTGCCGGCCATAGATAGTTCGCACGCAGTCTGAGAAGAAGCTCAAACACACGGGAGTAGAAGTCGGCATTGAAACCGGGACCGTATTTCGCAGGAGGGTAGTTTTCATTAATCCAGTTAGTCAGAGCCGGCTGTTCATCATTGATAAAGATGCCTCGGTATTTAACAGACGGAGGTCCCTGGATCTTCTTCTTTTTCAACGCATATACCTCTTTGTGTTGGGCAGGAGCGACGTCGGCGAACCAATACCAGGGAGAAACTCCGATCTGCTCGGAGATATCGTAAAGGCCGTAGATGACTCCTCGTTTGTCACTGCCAGAGATGACCAGAGCGTTCGAGATTCCCTCAAGAGGATTGCTAACAACCTCAGTCTGAAATGCCTCCCATTTTCCTTTCGTCTGATCGACATCGATCTTGCCCCGTTTGGCAAGAGAATCGATGAGTCGGGACTTGCCAATTGTTCCAGCAATGATCACTCCTCTGTTACCGCGAATGGAAGATTGATCATGAAGGGCTGTGCCATTGATTAGGCCAGTCGTGAAATTTGTACCGGTCACTCTTCCGAAGTCGACAGCAAGGTCACCAGCCGCACGGATGACACCAGACCAGTCGTCACCGTCAAGTAGAATCACACCCGGAGCAGTATTCTTCCCCGCTAACTTGTAGGCTCCCTTGGTTTTGTCAAAAGCAACGATGGGCTCCTGTCCAAGAGCGTGTGCAGCTCCCACCACGCAGCTGACAGTCAGAAGTACTGACAGTAGCATTGCTTCGCAAGAGTGAGAGGTCCGGTTACAATGGTGGAGGTATTCCTATCCACGAGACAATCCTGAGCAAGCATCCCGAGGTTTAAATACCCAACATCCGAGCGTTCAGCGGGATTGGGCCCGGCATGGATGCCAGGATATTAACCACGGAAGTCGGCAGGAAGAACCTTTCATATTGTCAACTGCCTATTAGGCAAGCTGCCAAGCTGGAGCCATTGCAGATGCGGAGATATTCCCCTCTGCAGGCATGGTACACGTCCTGGTGTCCGCACTCCACATAACCCTGGGCAAGATACTATTAGGCTAAATAGGCCAGTATAGCACAATCCGTCGGATCAAGGACAAGGATAAAAACACGAGGGACCAGTTCAGGAAAGGATTATGTTAGACAATGTCACAATAGCGACCATTAAAGCCGCGGATGAATTTATTCCACCCAGATTTCAACAAGCCTAAACTCAAGGTTCGAAGATTAAATGGCTTTTGAAATTACCCAAATTGAACAGACGTCAGGTTCCAAGAGTCTAAGGAGGTCGATGCCGCTAAAGGCACCCCACAATCAGCCATTCTGGAGACGCGGAGACGGGCAGGGAGTATGGTGATAGTTGAATAGATAATCATCAGGGAGCCATGTAAAGCTCAGAAGTTGACCATCGTCCAGATCAGGGGTAAATAAGCATGCCGAAAGGTGTAGGCGACGAAAAACTGACCCACGAACATAATAACATTCTTCCGACTGCTGGATGAGATTTCTCCGCACACGACATCATTATCCTTATCGGACTGATAGCTCAAGCAGGTAGGTCATGTGACCTTTTTGATGCGGAGTAGGAGCCGAGGGCATGCATAAGTTTACATAATTACTAAGCTCATCGACGCTTTATCTTATCATTATTATGCATTCCACGTGGACAAAGGTATCATGAAGGCGATATTGTCGAATGATGCTCCCGACCACTTCGACTTCTCCGTCTTCATTCCTCAATTCAGTTTACGTCTTTCTAGAGTCTAACTCTTCGATCCACTCCTTCGAACTAATTTTGACATTGGCGTACACTGATAGGTCGCTGAGCGACTAAGCTCTCTTTCAATCGCCGATCATTGTTAGCTCATATTCGAACCTCTGCTTATCTAGACAGCTCTTGAACCGACCATGGCCAACCGCCAGATCACCAGACGTATTCTGATCACCTCAGCAATAGCAGTGTTTGTTTTATTCGTCCTCTTCATTCGACCCCAAGGGCCGCCGAGTCCCGCCCTCCGCGCTCCCGGTCACATCGATAAATCTGCGCCGGACGTGACAGTCAAAGATGATCTGCTGAAGGGGGAGGTGATCATGCCCCGGCTGGGGAATGAGACTGCAAAGTACGCGAACCTGTTTGTTTTGGGACTAAAGCACGTACTGAATCGGACTGGGGAACACCAGAGCGGAATTGGGTCGTGCGACCTGGAAATATTTCCATACCATGCTGGCTCGGTATCCAGAAGAACCGACGGAAGAGCAACAGGAAACATTACGCTCATTTATCATTCTCTTTGCGCGACTCTATCCTTGGTAAGTTTGTCGTTGTGAACCTAACGAAACACCTTTCAGAAGCTAACTCGTTGACTAGCGGTGAATGCGCCTCTCACTTTCAAGGTCACCTGAAGAAATACCCGCCACAAGTGTCTTCAAGGAACGCGGCTGCAGGCTGGGGCTGCTTTATTCATAACGAGGTCAATGCGATGCTAGGGAAACCCGAATTTGATTGCAACAACATCGGCGACTTCTACGATTGCGGTTGCGCAGAGGACGAGAAGGCAGCAGGCCATAAAGACAAGTCTCAGACTGACAGTCAGGGTCTGCCTCAGAAAAAGGATCAAGAAGGCGACGCTACTACGCCTGTCGAGATACACAAGGAGCCGTCAGTAGTCCCTCGGTATCTCACATATCAGCTGCTGACAGACCATCACAGAACTACTCGGGGCTGATTGTCATTGTCTCCTCCAAATGCCCGGGAAAGCAGTACGGTTTCCTTTATCAGAACATTTATCACGCAGGTCGTCCCCATCTACCCTTTTGCTGGAGCTGGCCTCTCTGTACAGTAAATAGAGTCTGCGATTGTCAGAATTTCTTTGTAAATTGAGCTCAGAATATACCTTTGCATGAAAAGGATTGCTCGCTATCCGTTAGCTCTCTGATATCTGCAAGGCATTGCATACAAATACAACCTTCAGCGTTTCCCTATCAAATGGAGGGGCATATGACAGTCTGCACATGGCTACACAGGAATTCTTCTCTGGACACCTGACTTTTATTGGCAACCTGCAAGCATTTGTGACTCACACGACTGATCGTGGCCACCACCAGAAGTAGCTTTTTCATATTGCCGTTCCTACTTGCTGCAAAATGGAGGTGAGGGATAAGCCGTTGCTCGAACCTGGCAAACAAGCAAATCCGAGATTATTCTCCCTTACGCAAGCAATCGGTGTGGAAGGATTGAACAGACCACCAATGATGCCTTCTTGATTCCTAAATATATATCTTCCGATAGTCTGCATCCAAGCTATCGACACGAGAAACCCAACGTTGTGATAAATATAGTTTCCACTTCCCGCTATGTTTCATTCTACCCTATGATTCCGAATGTTCATATGAACTTGTTCAGTGATTTGCGCACTCACAGCCTCGCCTCCAATCAGCTGAGGGGGCGGTTGGTGCAGTCCCCTCCTTGGCCATGCCGCAGCGAGTCTTCTGACAACCTGGGCCGATCATTGTAGGGATGTGGATGCCGCGCTCATCCTTGACACAATTGATCCCATATCTCACTTCTTACGACCACGGACTCCCCTGTTCTCTGGCTGGCTGTAACCCGTCTCAGAGTTCGCCCATAAGCGGATGTAGATCGAGCGGAAGGTAATACACACGCGTCCTACGAATGTGAAACAGCCCCAAGGAATAACGATGTTTCACTGCCACAATGATTATACTTGAAATTGGAGTGCCACCTTATGATAGAAATAGGTTGATGTTGAAGTTGCTGGACCTGGTTGAAGTATCCTATCTATGTGATCGCGATTGTGGAGCCTGTTGCATAGGTGGATACCTGGTTTGTAAGGCAGGATCCAGACATTTGTTTAGTCCCAAAGGGGAATAGCGCCAAAAGGAATTATTGATGAGCTTCTTTTTTTCTTTTTTCTGTCCCAGTTTCCTTCGCAAAAAGACGCGCTCAGCAGAAGACGGAGTTTCAGGAATATCTCATACGCTACGAGCGGTCGCAGAAGCAGCGCTTATATTGGAAAGAAGCTTCGGTGTGCTGTATCTCTGTGAACCGGCGCGAAACGCATTCTATTCTCCTACTTGCTCTTGTTTCTCCATCAACGCTCTTTGTTGACATTACCTCCGCCGACGGGGCTCATCGCTTACTGCATAATTTCTGCTCTTCTTTAGTGCAAAGAAACAGATAAGATTGCGCATTCGAGATCTGTATCTGATAGTTCTCTTTGCAACCCTAAAAGCTAGTCACTTTGTTGTCTTTCCGTCCGGATCCAATAACTCGCGCAGACACTTGCTGAGCGGGTGATAGCGGGGTCAAAATGGTTTCCTTTTCATGTGAGGTGAGTCTTATCCGTCGCTGCGCCCGTTATTGGTAGACGAGAGATATGCCGAATCAAGAAGCATTAATCTAACCCTTCTGATCTCCTAGGCCTGTGGTGATGTCCTCACCAAGAAAAAGCTTGACCCTCATCGCAACCAATGCCGAGGCGCATCCTTCACTTGCATCGATTGTATGGTACACTTTCAGGGCACTAGCTACAGATCGCATACGGTATGTCCGTCGCTTTTTTGACTGTCGGCTGTAGATTTCGTCAGCGCATATCCCTATTTTGTGCGGACTTGTTCCTGCATTGTCGCGTTGCTTTAATAGCAAAATGGCAGCGGTCGCTGGGAGAACTTCGCGTCAATCCTCACTGTCGCTTCATAGCTCAAGCTGACTGTCTGCTTTATCTAGTCATGCATGTCCGAGGCCCAAAAGTACCAGGGCGCATTGTACAAGGAGAAGCCGACGAAAAACCAACGGAGAAATCAAAACCAAAATCAGAACCAGAACCAGAACCAGAACCAGAACCAGAAAAACAACACCAACGGCAAACACCGTGCTCCGTACGTCGAAGATGGTCCCGACAGCGATAATTCAAAAGGCAACGCGCCCCCGCCTGCTCCTAGTCCACCACCTACGAGCACTGAGAAGCCCTCTGCCACTACCGCTGAGGAGTCGAAGTCGGTTAACGTTTTCGACTTTCTCGTGACCGCAGATACCCCCAATGCATCCAAAGTCTCGCTTGGTGGGCCCAAGGAGCAAATGAAAATGGTTGATCATGCTCCGTCTGTCTTCGAGCCGAGCAAGGCATCAGCCCACGCCGAGGCGGATAATGATGACGAAAAGAAGGACTTCGATGTGGCATATGAGGAGAATGGCTTCTCATATGGGGCTGGTCCGATTCAGCCCTCGGTTTACCCAGGCAAAGCTCCCAACGTTTCCATGGAGTTCATGACCCCGGCGCCGAAAAAGAAGAAGGATCGTGCGCGTGGAGAGAACGACCAAGCCAGTGCTACGACCAGCGACAAGAAACGCAAGCGCCGTACGGATGATCATGACATGGACATTGACTCTCCGATGGCCGAGGCCCCATCGAGTGTTGTGAACAATCCGGGTACACCGATGCTGAAACACTCAGGCCTCACTGGTGGCTTGAATCGTATGATGCGATCTCCGTCCACAGAAGATGGGAATGCGTCCAAGGAAGACTCCCGACGACGGTATCAGGACCCCTCCTCGCCAATCAAGCGGACCCGCCGCGATCATAAGGATGGTGACAACGATTCGGGTCTGGGTATTTCTATGAAACAAAAGGCAGGACGTCTTGTCTCATCCATGTTTGGAGGCTCTGCCGTGTCGGGAAGCAGCAACAACAGCCAGGAGCCGGAGGCTCGCCGGTCGAAAAAATCTCACCGCGTGGCCAGTCCATCCCAAGATCAGATGCCGTCTGATTCCCGGAAGACAAAACGGAAGGTCAGCGCTCAGGCAGGAGGGGACCGGCCCTCCCAGCGGCTAAAGCAGATTGAATATAACGGTTCCCAACAAGGCGACGACGGCCGCGAGGTGGTTGTTTATCGGCAGGAGAATATTCCCAACGAGTTACAACGACAAATGGCTGCCCATTTCCTTTCCCTCGTGACGAAGGGCCCAGAGAGCTCACGAGGCTTCTCTGTAAACAAGGTATTGAAGCGGTTTCACCGCGAGTTTACCGATGAATTTGATGACGATCGTGGCCGCGGTCAAGGGCGGAGCCGTGCAGATCGCGAGCGGAGAATTGAGGATGAGAAGGACTTGTGGCGCACATTGAGGGTGAAGCAGAACGAGCGAGGAGAGGTCGTTCTCTTCTTCTGAGCATTGATTGTTGGTTTGCTTCCTAAGGATTACATGTTGCTGCTTCGCATGGTGTGGGCCTTCTTCGACTTTCCGTCGATTTTTCACGTGAATTATTATGCATAGCGCTTGGCTTATGTTGTTAGGGCTAATTCAATCTACTTCATGCCATCAGATTTCCTGCCAGACTCTGTATGTAATGCGTCTTGTGTAGGGCTTGATGACTCTGTATGACTCATTTCGTGATGGCGATGACTCGGACGTATGCTGCATTCACTGTAATAATAAATTCTCCAATAACAATTAATGAACGGCCTGACAGTTCATGAAACTAGAATGGGTCTTTAATTGGAGCTTTACGCCTGGCTGACTCATTTATTCCATCAAATCAGATCCGTATTTGATACTAATTCTTCCACTTCGGTTGTTGGAAACAGTTGGAGTAATCCGCAGTGGAACCAAAGTAACAGCATCTTTGCCGCCACCCAGCAGCATCCGTATAATCAAAAAAGGATTCCGGCGATTGTTCGGGAACACTTCTAAATTCCATCCCCTTCCTTCCTTCGTTGTGCTTTAAAAAGTAATCGTTACTTTCTTTGCCTCCGGGCTGACTTGATTCTTATTTACTTTTTACACCGTCGTGTTTCTTTCAGCGCGGCCTGCACTGTTGCCTCCGCGTTTCTTTTCTGTGCACTGCACCTTATCCGGTGGCGTCTGAGCTCCGCGACAGACTGATCTTTGAGCGAAGTGATCTTGCCCTTTTTCTGTTTCTCCAATCGCCTTCTAGACTACAAGTGCATGGGTATACCTCAAGCAGCTTCGCCTGAACTCTCCAGGGCCGTCGACAACATGTCGGGTTCGCCTGTGGCGACCGCTGATAATACCACCCCGCGTCCGAAGACTGCCAGACGACGAGGCAGAGGCCGTGGCGGTCGTGGCTCTGTTAGATCTACCCTGACAGCTCCCAACACACAACCTGAAGCTCAGGAAACGCCTCAAGTACCAGCAAGCGAAGCTTCGTCGTTGAATGTGCAGCCGAACGAATCGTTACGGGCCGCGAGAGGATCGAGGGGAGGCAAACGGGGTGGGCGAGGGGGAGGCGCATCCCAGGACAATGGTCGACGACGTGGACGAGGACGAGGTGAAGATTCAAAGGCTGTGAGCGGTGGGCTGGGAGGACGGACATTTGAGGGACGATTGTCGAAACCCGAGCGAGCGTCTGACGAGGATCAGCCAGATGATACCGGGAACTTGAGCTTGAGAGCCGATGCGCCTGAATTCGTCCCCGGAGCGCCTACGGATGGAGTCGTGTCTAATGGAATCACGTCCACAGCAGATTCTACGACCGGAAAGGGCAAGTCAAAGCACGTCCAGCCTCGGCCGCCGAAAGTAACAACGAAATCTACAGCACCTGATATCGCCACCCGGATACACGAAGACATCGCGCACAATCTCTACGAATGTCCGATTTGTACAAGCGAGCTGGGCCGAAGGTCGCGGGTCTGGTCGTGCGGGTTGTGTTGGACTGTTTTCCATCTGAGTTGCGTCAAGAAATGGTCAAAGAATGAAGGCTCGGCCGCCCAGGATGCTGCGCGTCGCCAGGCAGAGGGGGAGCCCAGTGCACCGCGTGCCTGGCGCTGCCCTGGCTGTAATCTTCCACACGAGATCTTTCCATCCACATATTCTTGTTGGTGTGAGAAGGAAGTCGACCCCCGTCCGCTGCCTGGCCTGCCCCCACACTCGTGCGGTCAAACCTGCTCACGGCCACGCAAAGGCTGTCCGCACCCGTGCGATGCGACTTGCCATGCCGGTCCTTGCTCACCTTGTACCGCGATGGGCCCGACTCAGGATTGCTTTTGTGGGAGGAATTCGTCGACTAAGCGCTGCCAGGACACAGATTACGAGAATGGTTGGAGCTGTGGGGAGGTATGCGGTGACTTACTCCCCTGCGGCGAACACACTTGTACTCGACCGTGCCATGAGGGTCTCTGTGGGGCATGTGAAGTCAAGATAGAAGGTCGTTGCTATTGTGGAAAGGTGCAAACCGAGATGCTTTGCAGCTCAAAGGACGAGGAGTTTGAAAGCCAACTGGCGCGAGGGGAGGATGGTACGATCGATGACTGGATTGGTTGTTTCAGCTGCGGAGATCAGTGCAGTCGCCCCTTCGATTGCGGGGTGCACTTCTGCGAAAAAGGTTGCCATCCTCAAGATGCACACCCCGCTCATTGCCCGCGGTCGCCGGATGTCGTTTCTCACTGTCCTTGCGGGAAGACGCCGTTGACGGAGATGTCTGGCTTCTCTCCGCGTACATCGTGTGAGGATCCGATACCCAACTGCTCGAGGCCTTGTGGCAAGATGTTAGATTGCGGACACTCATGCGACCAGATCTGCCACACCGGCCCATGTGGCTCTTGTCGACGCAAGGTGCCAGTTAATTGCCGCTGCGGTCGCACCACGGTTATAACTGTGTGCCATCAGGGCACGATTGAGCCTCCTTGGTGTTTCCGTATTTGCAAAGCAGGCTTGCACTGTGGCCGACACGCTTGCGCTGAGAGGTGCTGCCCTGGGGAGCAAAAGGCCATTGAACGTCAGGCGATGCGGCGGAAGTTAAAGGCCCACTTACGACCTAGTGACGAGGATGTTGAAGCCGAACATATTTGCACACGAGTCTGTGGTCGTCCGCTGAAATGCGGAAGACACACATGCCCAGAAATCTGTCATAAGGGGCCCTGCAACACTTGCCGAGAGGCAATTTTCGAGGACATCCCGTGTAATTGCGGTAGAACTGTTCTGTCTCCACCCTTACCTTGTGGGACTAAACCTCCTGCTTGCTCGTTCCCGTGTGAACGGCCGAAGCCCTGCGGCCATCCTCAGACACCTCATAATTGTCATACCGACGAAGAGAGCTGTCCCAAGTGCCCTTTCCTCACCGAGAAGGCCTGTCTTTGTGGCAAACGTGTCTTGAAGAACCAGCCTTGCTGGCTGGCAGAGACGCGTTGTGGGCAGGTGTGCGGTGAACCGCTTAAATGTGGCTCTCATTCCTGCCAGAAGACCTGCCACCGGCCTGGCGAGTGCGAGGATGCTTCCAGACCTTGCCAACAGCCATGTGGAAAGACCAAGTCCCTGTGCGGTCACCCATGCACCGAACCCTGTCATGCCCCGTATCAGTGTTCCGAGAAGACGCCCTGCGCGTCCACGGTCACAGTAACATGTGGCTGTGGACGGCTTCGTCAATCACGGCGCTGCAATGCAGTAGCAGCATCGAAGGGACCGGTGCCGCAGCCAACAAGAGGACCTTCCCTGACTCCGTTGACATGCGACGACGAATGCGCTCGCCTGGAGCGGAATCGTGCTCTGGCATCTGCGCTTGGCGTCGAGATTAACCCGACCACCACAGTTGCTTCGAGCATCTCTCCCAACACCCTTCCTTATTCAACTGAAACCCTGGACTTGTACGTCCAGCTTTCTTCCACCTCCCCGCTCTCCACTCTACAGACGTACGAATCAACCCTCCATTCCTTAGCAACCAGTACCACTCAGCGATCCGTACGCTTCCAGCCCGCCAAATCGCCCCTCCGTGCGTTCATCCACTCCCTAGCCGCGGACTGGGGCTTCGCCAGCGAGAGCTTCGATCCAGAACCCCACCGCCACGTCTTCGTCCTGAAGCCCACAACGTGGACCCCTCCACTCCTCGGCTTCGGCCCCGAGAACTCCATCGGCATCGGCGGCAAGAGCGTCGGCGAATGCGTCAAGCTGCGCGAACGCCAGCGTCTCAAAGAGCGCGAAGCGCAACGCCTCGCCGCCGCAGAAGCCAAGGCACTCAAGGAAGCTGCCAGAGCGCAGCAGTCTACGGACACGACCAGCGACGGCGGCTGGGCCCAGGTTGCTGCGTCCCGTCGGAGCAACGGCGTAAGCTCGACAAGAAGCACGACGCCCGTTGCGAGTCCTAGTCCGTGGTCCGGCTCGAAGTTCGCGGCCCTTGCTGGCGGCGACAACGGGGGCTGGGGTCTTCCTAAGAAAGAGAAACTCGTTCTTCGGTCCGGCGTAGGAGCCGCGAAGAAGAATCTCTCCACTCTGCCTGCGACTGACGTTGCGGATAACTGGGAAGAAGAGGAGGAGAAGGTAGAGCAAGAAGAGGAGCGCGAGCGTGAGCGTGAGCGCGACCAACAGTCGGAGGGAGAAGAAGGACCCAAAGTCGACGAGAATAACGAATTGACTGACGCGACGGATTCGGGATTGCCCGCTAAAGTGGAGATGCCTGCGGACGCGGTTGTCTCGACGGATTGATTGCTTTATTAATTGATTGATTGATTTAAAAGCTGGATGCATCTATCTGATCCTCCGGCCGTATGCCACATTGCATGGATGCGTTAGGTGTTTCGTTGACTGTCATCGTCATCAGCAAGCGTGGGTTTGCATGCATATGATATCTGATCCCGTGGACTCTAGATAAAAGTTACAGACCGAATAGAAAGGTTTCTGGTAATGAGATTAGGCAGGCCATGCTGATATGTGATTTATCGAGAACGTATATTCCTTCACCTCATACTATCCGGTATATCCAACTCAGGTTGGAGAGACGCTCCCTCAACCCAATCTAGTTCTCTGCACTGCAGAAACCGCCAACCCGCCAGGACAAAACTCATAAAGCACGATCCCACTCAACTAAGTCCGTAGATGCATGCTCTCCCCCAGACTGGGCGGCAGATCACCCACACCAGTCCCCCAATCACTCTCCTCCTCACCCAGCGTCAACTCAAGTGTCCATCCCTCCGTGAAAAACTCATGACCGATCCAATTCCTGCTATACGGCTCCCCATTCAGCGTCGCGCTCTGGATATATATCCTCCGGTAGGAACCATCAAAATTCACATTCCGTATCGTCGCGGTCTTGTTCGTCACGGGGTGAGTGATACTCACGGCCTCGAAGAACGGCGGGATGATAAGGTACACGTTCTGCCCGGGGTTAGGGAAGAGGCCCATCATCGTGAAGACGGTGAAGGCGCCCATGGCGCCTGAGTCGTCGTTGCCGGGGAGGCCGGATGTGGAGGCATTGAATGCGGAGGGGACGTAGGTGTGAGCGCGGGCGGCGGAGAGGGCTGGCCGGCCGGCATAGTGGTATTGGAAGACGGTTAGGAACACGGGCTCGTTGCCGATGTCTGCTAGGCCGGAGGTGTGGAAGAAGTCGAGGCGGGAGATGAAGGTGTCTGGGCCGCCGAGGAGACGGATCAGGGTGGCCATGTCGTGGGGGACATAGCTGGGGCTTTTTGTTAGTGCGTTCAATGGTGCACTGGGTTTGTGAGGGGGGGTAACGCACAATTGGTATTCCCAGACGCTGGACTCAAAGGTCTCGGAGGGATTGGAGGTTAGTGAGCACCATGAGGCCAGGGCACTGCAGGCGATGGGATCTTGGTAGCCCCAGGTTCCGTTGAGGTACTTTGGCTGGAAGAAGCCGACGAAGCCCGTGTTGGTGCCGTTGATCAGGGACTGTTGGTCTGGCTTGTAGAGGTTTTGCCAGTTGCTCGCTCGAGAGAGATACTTGGTATAGTCACGCTTGCGTAGACCTCGTCCAACAGTGGCCAGGCTGAAATCGTTGTAGGAATACTCTAGAGTACGTGAGATGCTGCGAGAATTGGTCCCGAAGCCCAGGTAGTCAAAGTCCAGGTAAGGAATGTAGTTCAGACGCTTCCAGCTCTGCAGGCCACCTCGACCTTCGTACGACCATTCCAAGGGTTCGTTCTCCGCATCGTTGACCATGGCTTCATACGCGAGGTCCCAATCGATCCCGGTAAGGTTCTTGACAAAGGCATCTGCCAGGACGACATCCGCGTTGGATCCGCCCTGCGTCCAGCCCTTGCAAAGACTCATACGACAGTCTGGCAACCAACCTTCATGCCTGTAAGTATCGAGGAGACTTCGGACCATCCGCGACTGTGCAACAGGGTCAACGATGGTGAGAAACGGGTGTTGGGCTCTAAAGGAATCCCAGATACTGCCAATCATTAGCTATCGAAAAATAGCACGTCATCCAGCGATACACACCAGTAGAAAGAATCATAGTACGGCTCATCACTGCGCCAGAGCGGGTTCTCTCCCGTCAAGTCCTGGGGAGAGAGCATGGTCCGATACACTCCACTCCAGAAGCTCTCGAGAAATTCTTCAGCTACGCCTCCCGCCTGTACAGAGATAGGGCTAAGTTTCTCCCGCCACGCACTCTCAGCTCGCTGTCTCAGCATATCGAAGTCGTCTTCAGGATGCGGAATCTCTTTCTCTGCATTCTCGCACGCCTTCTCCGAGCTGATAAAGCTCATCCCAACGCGCACAGTAACAGTCCCACCCTCGGGCCGTTTGAATCGCATAAACCCACCAGCCTGCAGATAGAACAGATTGAACCCCCGCGTGGCAAACAGCTCCTGAGGCTCGGCCCCCGCGCGATCGTTAACCCAGATCCCACTATCCTTCACAGCTCCACCCCCGAAATCCGCACAAAAGTACGACACGTACGACCCGGCTCCAAAGCTAGGCAAGAACGTCCCATTGGCCGTGATCCGGCCATTCTCAGCATCGACCTTGATGGACGCATTCTGCCGACTATCCCAGGCGTCCGTCAAATCAACCAGAATCAGCGGACTGAGCTCCGACCCGTCCTGCGCCGTGGACGATGGGAAGGTAAACCGGTACAGCGCCGCATGCTCCGACACCGTCATCTCAGCTTGAATCCCATTCTCCAGAGCAAGCGCAAAGTGCCCCGGCCGCGCAACAACCGAGTCATTGACATAGTGCACCCCGCGCGCAGCTTTCGGGAAGCGGCAGTTATCCAGCACATCGTCCGGGCAGTACTGCGGGAAGATGGGGAAATTGCCTAGCGAGGGATTACCCCCTGTGCCAGAGTCGTGCATGCTCGAGAACCCAACGACATGGCTCCCGTCTGTTGCGAAGCCGCCCGTGTTTTGGCCGTCGACGTCGGCGACGGCCTTGGCCATGCCGTAGGGGAGACTTGCGCCTGCGAAGACGTTGCCGCCGTTGGTGGAGCCGATGAGGGGATTGACATATTTGAGGATGTCATTCTCAGCTAATGTAGGTTGGCCTGCAGCGAGGCTTGTCCATTGGATGGGTAATAGAGCAGCGAACTTCCTTAGTGCTACCATTTTCATGGTGGGGAGTGGACGCTGTGTTGGTTGTCATCTGTTGGGGGAGTATCCCCGGCATGAGACGAGGAGAGTAGGTTGGGCATGACGGCAACTTGAAATATATGGACGAGGTATAACTAGTTTGCTAGTTGTCAATGTCAATGTAACGTTCCATGCAGAGAAGGAGAGATCGACACTGCTTGATAGGAATGATCCAGACAAAAAGGTTGCTGGGGAGAAAGGAGGAGGAGGAGAATGCCCGTGCGGGGTAAATAAGATAACAATGACCGCACGAGAAGTTAGGATGGACGGTCGATATAACAATCTCCTCGTCGAATTGGAAATGCAGAAGTGAACACTCGGCAACAGCGACTAATGGCCCCGGATAATCAGACAACGACTGTCCTTCTTCTGGCATCAGACTGGAAGTTTCCCCTCACGTCTGACACTGCTCTCGGACGCGTACGTCCGGAGGAATTACCAGACCAAACGCTGTCGTTTCCACCATTGTCGGGTTTACTTGATGCCCTCATTGAGAGCTGGCTAGGCGGTCCTTGTGACGATGATTCAGTCCTACTGCATTTGGCTGTTCAGTTTAACTATCTCTACGAATATGTTCCAGCTTTGAAAGAGCGATCCTTTGCCAACCAGTTGAAATACGAACATCGCCAGTTCCACTTGGACGTGCTTGCAGGGATGTCAACAACATTGCCATCTAGAAAGCATCAACATGGCATTCGAGATGCACTTTTAAAGGGTCATTATGAGCTGCAGGAACGCTCAGCACTTCGCGACAATGAAGAGCTTTTCGATCCTCGGAAAAGAGTCCCCCTACCACCCCCTGTTGAAGGTCAAACAATGGAGTAGGTGCGTTGTTTGACCGCGAAGAGTATGGCTCAAATTAGTGGCAAAGATGGAGTGACATTCAATCGGCGCAATGAGTAAAAGCTTCGTTAACCGGAGGCTCAATTCTCATCCTTGAAAGGAAGCCACTATAACGGAATTCACCATTTCCGCTGCAGACGGGTGCCCGCTGCTTTTGATTTCCGATGACTGGGGAATCTGGTGTGTCAGTGGCATTTCGATGAGACTTGGAAAGAGTTAAGGGCCAGGTTGGCAGGACGGCTCCCTGGTCCAGGGCGACCAACCACGACTACAACTGCCCCCAACACATCTACCACCACGGGTAGTGTGCTATCTCCGGCCATGGCCTGAACGATAACCAGCTGTACAGCATAACACCGGGTTGTCTCCGGTGATGGATGTTATGACTTCGCTGCCACGTGCGGCTTTCTTGGGCTGATGTAAGTTCATGCACTGCTCCCCATGGGAAGGCTTCATACCCAGTAATGGAGATTTGCTAACCGACTATCACAGCTTTACTCATGGAACCCTGGTATTGGAGCTGACTGCACTGCCTTTCAGTAAGAGTATTATCGGTTGCCGTAAGGGGTCAAGGCTCTGCTTAATATGCAAGGACGCAAGAATAATCTCCAAGACAGTGGTATTCCATTAGTATCTGTAACCTCGAGACTTCTCACTAAACTTTTATACATATTATATCTTTAACACAGATTCTTGAATAATTCCCCCTAGATCATCACACCCTTGTTCTGGTGCTTGTTGACATTGTAGTTCTTCCAGACCGAAATGGCAGGGATCCCCAGAATCAAAATGCAAGTAGCGGCAACCGCACCATACATCTGGCTGCGGCCCCAGGCATAGTTGATCGCATCACGAGCAGCCGAGCCCATCGGATATGTTTGTTGCACTGTGTATCCACCCATGTAGATCGATGTAGTATCGGATTTGAGATCCGAAGGGAGACGAGACTCGAGAGCGCCAGGGAAGACGTTCGTATAGATAGCAGCCGCCACAGCGTATCCAATGGCGCCCCCCAAGCTAGAGAACAGACCGATGAACGACAGCATCATGGGGACGCCCTCGCGGTTCGCAGACGCCATGACAGCCATCTGCTCGCCGATGACCAGCGTGCCACCACCAAAGGCAATGAAGATCTGGCACATGATCACGTAGCCGATGTCGTCCGACTGGCCCCGGAAATGAATCATCAAGCCCGCACCCAGGATCATAAGCGGCAAGCCGAAGAACAGACAGGTATGCTTGAAGTGCTTGGTCCAGCGCACCCAGAGACCG